AATTTTTTTTCCTTTTTTTTTTTTTTGCATTTTTAATAATGCAATTGAAGTGTCACCAGCTCATAGAGTCTTTCACCAACCTCTTGTTAACTGAGCTCTGGTATTATCATGTCTGAGTGGTATCAACTTCAATTTGAAAAAAAAGTTACTGGCTTTTATAGGTGTAAAGCAGAAAAACCCAGGTAGCCCTACAGGCTCAAAAACTGTACTTTTTTTTTTTTTTTTTTTTTTTTTTTAATGGCATCATTATAAAGCTCAGCTCACAGATGCTGCTGCCTGGCCTTGCTGATATCGAGGGGGAAAATTCAGTTGACAGAGAAAATCTGTCCTAAATTTATAGCAACATGTGGCCCAGTTGTCTGTCTCTTCCCTTCCAGAATGGAGCAGAACAGAGCAGACTTCCAACTGCTGTGAAGTGTCATTGTGTCTTTGACATGTAGGTCAACATGTAGATTTGAGGATCAGCAAGAACTAAATGTTCCTTTCTATATATAGATTTTAATGTAAAAGTTACTACAGCATGCAAACTACAGGCTGCAAACTCTGGTACCAACCTTTTCTTTGCATCTATGTAACTTCAGGGTTTGGTTTTTTTTAATATAGAAGACCTTTTCCCCCTGAATTTTGGCGTAACACAGAAATATCCATAAGCATATTGTGAAGCACATTTTAAAGCCTGGTAGTGTTCATAAATCAGGATAGTTATACTTGTAATCATTTCTGTGAGTGGGTGTTCCTGTGCATGAGAAGATATGCAAAATTGGACAGTGAGATGAGCCATGATGAACATTAAAGGTCCGGAAGCAGATCGATAGCTGGTGTCAATTGCCAGGGCTTCATTGATTCCAATGGTCCCACGGTAAATACTAATTGAGCTGGAGCTAAAAACATTGTCATCATCTTATCAGCTGCTCTGTGACAGTGGGGAATGCAGAATGGGGGGCAGGCGTTACCTCCACACCTTGAACGGTGCCAAAGGGTAAAATTCCCTGGTTAGTCTGATGTTTTGAAATCTCCTTTATTGGCTGCGTGTGGGTATGCATGTGCAGACAGATGCATATATACACAAGAAGGCATTTTCTGAGACAAATGCACAGCTTCTACTGCTGTGATGGTACTTTTTTCTTCAAATAAAAACAAAATAAATTTCAAGAGACTGTATAAAATTGGCTTGTACAAATTTGTTGCACTTCTATGAGGTTTTTCATTCATCCCAGTAGCAAAGGGTCATGCAACTCAGGTTTTAATCCATGATTTACATACAATACTCAAATTCTTTTTCAAAACTTATTACAGAAATGATGGTTTCCCAGGTGTACAAATTACTGAGAATTATAATATCAACAAAAAGAAATGAAGCCAGGTTGCATATAAAAATCTATGCCTCCTAGGTGACTCTCAACAGGTTTTTTTCTAAACATTTTCCACCAGATAAAGTTCATTATCTTGTACTAACAATTTCCCATTTCACGAAGTTAAGGTTTTACTGAACCTGTATATAAGAAATTAATTATACAGTGACATGAACAGAACCTGAGAGAAAAGGGACTTTGTGCATGGCTGTGATGAACTCGTCGATTCTGCTGTGAAGTTCTCTTGAACACCTTATCAAATGCTGCTAATTTTCTGGTCTGCATACAAATGTATTGATGTGCCAGAATGTAATCAAATTGGAATGTTTGGAGTAAAAGCTCATTTGCCATGTTTCAAATTGTTCATATTTACTTGGAGGCCTCAGGAGGGCATCTTAATCTTATAGTGTTATTATTTCAAACAGAAAAAGAGATTTTTAATGTTATTTGGAGAAACTCCCTTAGCTTGCAGACTGGGAAAAAAAAAAAAAAAAGAAGCAGAACTCCTGCAACACATATTTTGACAAGAGCTCTGAATGAAAAATAACAAAACCTCTGAAGGGAATTTCCCATTAATCTAATTTATTTGGAAGCACATTTTCACAATAATAATTAAATTATCTAACGTTCGCTCACATTAAAAAGCGACCATCTGTAACTGTTCAATACTAGAAAAAAAGGAGGGGGGAAAGGCCAATGTTTTAAACTAACATCACAGGCAAAAAGCAACAACTTCCAAACATCAAAGGAATACCATGATGTTTGACAGCTTCCTATGAAGTCAGCTGTTTCATCTCCTAGTGAAGTTGGCAACAGAAATTCCAGCATCTTCTGTGCAGTGGTGTCTTTAAAACTGTAACATGTTTATTTGTTAGACCTCTATTCATCCAGTTTTCAGGGTGTGTGAGTAGCAAAAGCATCCAATAATTAAAGACTTGTGACACAGGAATCCGTGTTTAGGGCAGACAACAAAAATAACAACTACATTTTCCTGTGGAGGATTTTATCCAGGAAGTTCATCCATGCCTTGCAAGTCTTCCGTGGGAGGAGAACACCAGGTATAACCAACTGAGATACCATTGAGCAAAATGCGTTTTTTATCGGTTTTATTTCTCCTAGAAATGTCAGCACAGCACATTATATTGCCTGTAATTTTCATAGATAAACGAGACAATGATTCCATTGTTATTTTTTTTCTCAAAATGGTAGAATACATTTTCTTAAAAAGGTCTGCAAACATATTTACAAAAGTGTGAAATCAATAAATGCAGGCTCTTTATATTTTTACTGAACTTCCAAAGACTGACTGATATCCTAATTTTATTGGAAATCTGGTCCAAGGATGATACAAGAAATTAAATATCACACTCAATTTTGCTTTTGTGTATGCTACCATGAAAAACAAATCAAATAGATAAAATATTTTGAAAAGAACAAACTTATATTCCATGAAGCACATGAAGATATTCCAAAACCATTTCTTATCTTTTCATTTCAGCTTTAAAACACCTCTTGGTCTTTCTCAATGTTGTGTTAAAACATGGGACACCATCTTACTTTTGGAAAGCCAGCTGCTGTAATGTCAGTATAAAGTAGCCACTAAAATATAATTCACAGTATCTGCATCACATGAATGGACTATTTTTTTTCCAAACAGTGGTGACAAAATTTGTGTTGTAGCCTTCATCTTTCACATTTTAAATACTATTGGCTGACAGAAATAAAGTGTAGTGTCATGCTTGGTTTACCTAAATCATTTATTTTGTAACTAATAAAAGTAAACAATTACCAGATACTGTATATATAGAGATATATAGATATATGGCCACAAAGAAACTATAGTAGAAAGTTATTTTGGTTTTGATAAAGTTAAGAAAAGCACATAAAATCATATTTCATTAATACCTTGTTTTATGGCCATCAATATTTTTGTATTTTTTTTGTTTTGTTTCATCAACATAGCAAAATACAATCTTCTTATTAAACAATAATTATCAGATGGCAGACAATTCTTTTTATTGGTTTACATTGGCAGGTCACAGTCTAAAAGCACAACCACATCAGGCAGAAATTGCACACAGACCACCCTGGATTTTGAAGACTATTTTATATGCTTCTACAAAAAGACCTTAATTTAAAACTGGGGACTGTAACAAGTACTAAGTAAGTACATGGTTTTTGTTTTTTTTGTAAAATAACTGAAATTGCAATATTTATTTTGGTTTCAGCTTAATTTTTAATGTCTGTGTTCAATGTCAGCAAACATGCTTTAAACTTCTCAGCAACCTTTTATAATAAAAGTTCAATCACCCAATAAAACCCTGATGATTTTTCTTTCCCATCATGGAATACTGCAGATTTATTTCAATTTGCCCTGTTCCTCGCCTTTTGTTTTGGTGTCAGTATTGCATTTTTAACTCATTCCTGAAATCTGGAGGAGATTAAAGTGTGATGACAGTCACAATGTCAATATTTCTGTAAGAAATAGCTGTGGTGGGGCTGGCCTATAAATGTGCAGTTTTATTAATTGTAGAAGGCATCCTCATGTCTTCAAAAACCAGACTGGTCTTAAGATATTACTCTTTATTTGAGACAGTTACCATTACTTCATTAAAAAATGACAAAACAGCAATAAACATTTTAGCTCTTTAATGAGCAAAGATCAGGTCTCTTAACATTGGAATAATATTCGTTATCCAGATTATCTTTATTTCACTCAGTGACCAGTAATATGGCCAAGAAATACAAAGTAATTTTCCATCAAGTAGTATACAATTTTTGTGTGTAATAAGCTTTCATTCTTGAAAAAGAGTAACTGAAAAGAAATGTTTCTGTTACTGCAGTTAGTTTGTCAGAGAAAGTTCTTCGCATTATCTTACAAACTATCAAAATTGCTAGTAATTTGAAAAAATGTAAAAAAAAATCACATAACTTTAGTCTAATAGAAATATAGTACAGGTAAGAGAGAAAGTATTTATCAGGGATGTGCTCTTAAGTCCATCTCAATTATTTCTTTTATATAAATGTACATCTGATTACATATACAAACGTTTTGAAAGGATCACGGTATAGAATTACTGGAAAGCAACAGGGGAATGAAAATTTTTTTTGTGATTTTAGAACATTCACTTCAAATCACACAAACATATGTAGTATCCAGATTTTTAAATTTCCAGTTGTTGGCTCTCTCCCCGTTCTCATATACCCTCTTTTTCTACACTCTTGCCATCTGGTCTAGAGAATTAATTAGAATGACAAAGCTAATGTATAGTAAAAAGGGAATTAACATTATATTAAAGTATTATAAGTAAACTTTGTAACATGCAACATGAGTTGAAACAATAAACTGAAAGTTGTAATCAGAGCAGTAATATTGGGGCAATTTTAAATGGCAAAATGTCATTGTAATTAAATTTTTGGACACACTTTACCTCATCAATTTGAACAAAATACTCTGTAACTAAATCACAGCAAATTATAAGTCCTCCTTATAAATCAAAGGAGATTCCATTAAAGATATAGTTATTTCAAAGTCAGAAATTATTTAGGTGGAAAGGAAAAAGAATATTAATAGTATACACTTTTTTTGTCTGGGATTCATATCAGTGAGGGTCCACCACTGTATACCTAGAATGCCATAAATACCTTTAAGAACTGTTGCAATCCCTTCTTTTTCAGAAGCTACCATGAAATATTTTACTGTAATTACTTTTGCCCCTTTAAAAAACTTCTTTAGGTTGTGCCAATTGATGGAGAAAGCTTCTATTAAAAACTCCAATGGGATGAGAAGAATTTTAATTACGGCTTAATCAGCAGCACAGCCACCAAGCATATAAATTATCATGCACATCGTGCTAAAAATATCCAGTTTCCTTTATTCCCACAACTTTTATACTGACAGCACTTATGTGATAATGTTGTACCTGCCAGGCTGTAAAACTTCTCTGACTGGCAGATTTCAGCATGAGCCCCTTTCTAAGGCCTTAACAGCATTGGTGCTTTGTGTACTTATTCAAATATGTAAATATGGTCTACACAAGAAAACAGGTCCAAATAAAAATTGGTGAAAATTATCTGACATTCCATTAGTGTGTCCCTTGTGCATATTTATAGGTTTTAAAAATTTTCAGTCATAGTTCTTTCCTCTTTGTGTTGCACATGCCTAATTCCATTATGTAACTTAAATCTTCAAAAAATTAATACTTGAATGTAAATGAAAAAGTATCATTCAGGACAACTGCTTCAAGCAATTGCAAACAGTTGGGTTTTTAGTTTTTTTGTTTCTTTTTTTCTTTTGTTTTGTTTGTTTCTTAAGTTCATTTGATATATGTACAATTCATTTTTTTTCAAAACCCCAAATGTTCTTGATATGTATATTCACATAATATTCCTCCATATTTAAATAGTAAGAGTCTTGTAGGTTGAAAGCCAAGTAATCTTCAGTAATATCACCTACTGTAATCCATCAAAAAATAAAAGTTTGTTTCGTCTTGTCTGGCTATACCCTGGTTGTTGAGTGTGAATGGGGGTGGGGATGAGGATGGGGCAGAGTATTGTTCTGTCCTCCAGTAAATGTGTTGAATGTGTGTAGGGGCTGAATCCCTGGTATAGTGTTGGGGATCATTGTGATGGTGTTGGGTGTCATTAAGGGGATATCATCAGGAGACCTTCTCATGGCTAGCGTGTAGTCTGGGGGACAGGCGGTCCTAAGAACCACCTCATGTGGATGGATGGACTCACATTCATGATCCAAGTCAGTGTGCTTCATTTGGAGGGACATTATCTCCTCTTCTTGTGCATGGGTGAGATCATTGGTAGTGGTACGTTGTGGGCTACATCTCCTGTGAACGTCATGTCTCCGCTTGTCCTTTTTGTAGTACAACGCTGCAAAGGCCAAAATGTTCAGGAACAGCAAAGATGCGCCAACTGCGATTGTAACGCTCAACTCTGTTGAGTAGTCCCTTTGATCCACTGAAAATGGGCTTGGCTGCTGTTTGGGATCATCTTGTTTGGCTGTAGGAAAGGCTGAAGTAACTGAAACAGAATTTTTCCTTGTGGGTCTGAAAGTATTATCAGTCGATGGCACTTTAGTTGTGGTAGAGGTATACTGTGAAATGTCGTTAAGATTGTGCAGATGAGGTACCAGTTCCAACCAAAGGTTCACTTTATTGGCCCTATAGTGTTCTTTCACTCGTGGTTTTAATCCAATGTGAAGATACAGCTGGTCTTTCTGAGAATATCTGGTCCATGCTACTTCTTCAAAACGATTTGGTTTTGTGTGGATGAATTTTGTGTCTTGCGGCACTGGTTGATTTGGGTCACTGCAAGAAAAAGATATCTCCAATGTTACAAAGCATTTCAAATGGAATTATAAAATTAACATAATTAAGATTTTATACTAAACATTTAAGACTGCCTTTGGACGGAGCAGAGTGCTATTCCCTAAAATTAGAGGCCTTAATAATCTTCATTAAAAACAGCATTACGCAAAAGAACCCTTCTTTTACACAAACTTCAGCAACTTCCCTGTTTCTCCAAAATATCTGCGTCTCACAGTGAAATCTTTTGCTGCTGAGGGAAGATTGCCTGGTGTGTGGTGATGTAGTAGGCAAATGTCTATGAGAGACCAGTGTGAGAGAACATTAAGATTTTCTTCTTGTTTTTAGAAGCATAAAGTTTATACAGCTCTGCATTTCTGTTCCTGTGAATCATCTGTGGCCTTCCAGAGGGGAAGGATCATGACAGAGCACAACTCAGCACAATGCATAGTCAAAAATAAGTGGTCAAATGTAACAAAGATTTTTGAACTCCAGAGGAAGAAAAAGAACTAATGAAAATGGCAAAACTTTCCAAGTTTAAAGCCACATATTTTATGGTCAGAAGTGAGAATTTAAGACAAAACACGCTACTAAAATAAGCTGTATTATATTTGATGCAATATTTATGTAATTTTCTGTCTCATGGAATGAAAGTATCAGTGGCAGGGCAAAGGCAGGTACTAATGTAGCTGATTTTAACTCTACATATATGTTAAATGCTTACTTTTACACTTTTCTAGAGTTTCCTTAATTAGTTTTGTGTATATTTTAGAATTTCCTCGCAGAAAGTCTGCAAAGATATTTTTCCCTCTTTTTCCTAAAATACGTAAGTGAGCCAAGGAACATTACAATAAACATAGATATCCAACTCAATTCTTAATCTCTTATTCATCCAAGGAATTCCCAAGGGAGATAACAAATAGAAAGCACCATTACATCCAAAGTTTGCATACAAGACCATCCATTATCTGATACTCACCCAGTTTTTGCAAAGTTTGTCCAGTACGTCATCACCACTGCACTTAGCATGACGTCATTTTTGGAGAAATTACAAGGAAATAACTCAGTAGGACCAATCATGGGGATTCCTAGTACGTAAGGAACCTCATCTCCGTGGGCTGCATCTGCCCATGCAGGTACCTGATCTGTCTGGCAATGATGGTAGAAGGCATAGAAGTACGTAGGCGATCCAAAATTCGAGTGAAGATCTGCTGTGGCCACTGCTGGTGCAACCCACTGGTGATCAGTAAACAAAGCCAGCAGTGTTTTCCTTCTGGTCTCAGGGTTGTGCCGGTCTGCCCAGTCTGTGTACATAAATTTAATAGTTTCCCTCAATATATCTTTGCCTTCGGGGTATCCGTATAAGTTATCGACGAAATTAGAAACTGCAAAGTCAAAATCACTGGCTGATATGCCATCTTCACTATCCACAATGTTTTCAACAAACTTCAGCCCTTCCCCTTGGTTAACTCCCAGCATGATGTCATAGTTGAGGAACTCTCCTTGCTCCATCAGGATCTGAGGGTCGTCTGGTATCACGTCGCCGTCGATTACTGGTCCAAAGGCTATGTGGTATCTTGCTGGTTGAATGTCCTGGTCGACAAGTTCTCTGTAAGGCTTCTTCTGTAGGCATTCTACCAGTTCTACAGTGTCTGACATGTTGCAACCAACTTTTGTAGCCAACATCCTGGCGTATTTTGCAGGCTGAAAGCTAACTGCCCAGCTGGAGAGAGCTGTTCCACTTTGAGCTATTGCTCTTTGAAAAAGTCCTGTGGGGAGAAATATTTGAAAACTACTGAAGCGACCTTGAAACAGCCACAGACTTTGAAAGATTCAAAGGAGTTCTTTGAAACAATAGAAAACTTTAACAGAAGAGATACCTGAATCTTAATAGTACTTAAATATACAGGGTGGTGAGATCTGACTGCTGTTGTACCTACAGGTAATGTGCATAAAATAAATGCAGTATGTGCTGAAGCAAATAATTCTCCCTCAATATAGTCCAGATTTTCAAAAGAAACTCAGGAAGAAAAAGGAGTGGCATTACCTTATGTAGGACAACACTATCAGGTTAAAAAAATTCTTAAAATAAAAGCACCATATAGGTTGGAGGAAAAACCATCAAGTCTCTGAAATGGGTTGAAGTTTTTGGTATTGTTCAAGCCATCATCAGCATGCATATATAAAACTACGTGTGAAATAAATCTATTACACCTTTTAATGTTTTCTTTGGCATTAAAGTTGGTTTGAAAGGTGCAGTGCTTTTAAATTGTGTATCACTGCAAAAGTTTATATTCTGTAGTAATAGATGAGAAGGTACCAGGCAGCTATTAAATTTATAAGTGTCTAAGTCAAAATCCTTTCTTGTAAGGAGCTTTTTAAAGGCAGGTTTATATTGATCACACTTACATAAAAAGGGAAATTATGTATTTTACACTGTTTAGCTTTGTAATTCAGATATTTAAACATATGTTCAGGTATTCAGTTAAGGGAGGGAGAATGATCTGGCACTGCATATAAACTTGCAGTAAATCCCAAAGTCTTCAGTGCACTTAACTTCAATTTATGCTGATTTAATTATCTCTCTGGACCTGGGAATTCTACCCAAAGAAATAACAAAATGCGTTAAAATTTATGTTTTCCCTCCCTTCTGTAAGGAGTTTTAAAACATGTCATGGATGATAACCTCACCCTCTTGTAGTAAGTGAATTCATGCAATTATTTTGCTATTGGCTTTAGTGTAATCAGAACTCCATCCTTGTCCTGATACTTCTTGTGCTCCCTTTGCATTTTTCCACTCCTTTTGAGGAGGTTACTTTGGGCTCTGAAAGAGATTATAAGTCTGAACCTTGTGTAAAATATTGCTCCCTAACTATATTTAGGTAATTTAGGCTGTATTTAATAGGTATTTAGACAATATTTAGGTAACGGTGGCCTTTCTGCTGTTTTGTGAGGAGTTTGGGTTTTTTTCATTATCACAGAAGTTCATTTCAATATCATAACTTTTGCACAAACTACTGGAAAATATTTTATACTGGACCCTACTTTCTGTAGGTCACTCTGGGTAATACAAAATGGTCTATAGTGTTCAAAAGTTATGCTGATTTAAGATATATGGGTCAAAATTTTGTTTTACTTGTGCTGATGGGCACATGGAGTAATTCCACTGTCTCTGATGGAGTCACTTAGGGACTGAAAGTGACACCTGGCATCACTCAGTTCCACCAGGTCCAGTGCTTGATGAATAGCTGGATACTCCCACTTGAGGAACTGGAGTCAAGGCTCTCAGCTTACCTCAGAAATTTATTCCAATTATGCACAAGATGGCTTTTGCTTTGATAAGCAACATATTTCTATTGATAAAAAACCTCCCTAGGCTCTAAATCAAATCAGAAATGCTTTTACTGCTTCTGTTGCAGCACCAGACTCTGTGCACTCAAAAATAAGTTGGAATCTGTTGCTGGCAGGAAACATTTTACAAGCTTCTCAGGAATTTTTAAATCATTCAATGATGTAAATCATTGTATTAGGTCCCAATAGAAAAGTTATCAAATTAGATAGGTGTAGAGACTGAAATGTTTAAACTTAGGTCTCTTAAACTTATGAGAAATCATATCCAAGATATTATTCTCTTTCAAGATATGAGTAAAAATAAGAATGAACTTGAGCTATAAACAGCTAAAGATATATTTGCATGTTTATAAGGTCAGATATTGAGCTAGTATAAATCAGCTCAAAGTCAGTAGAATTACCACAGAGGATCCAGGCATTGTAATAAATGTAACTAAATGACAAAGCTGAATTTTCACAAAGATGTATTTCATGATAATTCATAATGTGTGTGGGTTTTTGCATATTGTGTAAATCTAACTTTATTGCTCTATTAAATATGTCTGAACAAGGACAGAAAGTGTAAGCTATGTGTAAGAAAATGCTGATTCAAACACTGTGACTTGCTAAGTGCTACCTAAACATCAGATGCTGGATTAAGTAAAAGTGGTCAAGTCCTTTGGCCATAAAACCATCTGAAGAAATGAGACTAAACATCCCTCCTTGTGCTGAAGAATGCTGACAGAGCTATTCCTCCACTCAAACCATTTGGTGAAAAATGAACAGTATGAAAAATTATTTGCATTCTGTCACAGAATTTGTGGCAAAAATTTGTACCACACAGGATGGAGAACCACATTTTTACCTGATAATGTTTATTATTATTATTATTATTATTATTATTATTGCTTATGAGCTTCAGACTGATGGAAAAAATATTTAAATGTTCAATGGGCCACAGTGCTTTGTGACCCTTATTCAGTGTCTCACCACAGTAAATAATAATAATTTGCATATATTCATCTATATTTTGAGAACACTTTTTGTAGATGGGTGCTGCTCTGCCCACTTGCAGGTGGGTGGCTGTGAACAACTCCACCTTGAAATAGGCTGAATTCCTCCTCTCAACTGCCAAGGGAATTTTTCAGAGGGAAATAACAGAAGCAAATAGAGCTTCTGAATTTATATCTTATGAAAGAGATTGGTTGATAATCCTAGAATAACAGAATCCCAGAATAGTGTGGATTGGAAGGAACCTTGAAGCTTACCCATCTCCACCCCCTGCCATGGGCAGGGACACCTTCCACTATCCCAGTTGCTCCAAGCCCCATCCAAACTGGCCCTGGACACTTCCAGGGGTGGGGCAGCCTCAGCTTTTCTGAGCAACCTGTGCAAGGGCCTCACCATCCTCAGAGGGAAGAATTTCTTCATAATATCAGATCTAACCCTGCCCTCTGTCAGATTGAAGCCCTTCTCCCTCATCCTATCACTGCATGCTTTTGTAAAAAGTCCTCCACCTCATATGTAAATGTAAAACACCATGAAACAAAAAGGGAGTTTGTAAATGTTAAGAAATAACTTTACTTATTTGAACCTGACCATTTTACATTTGCTTTTTTTTTTTTTTTTACAGCAGTTCTAACTACCTCCAAATGAAACATAACACAGGAGTGTGGTGAGTTGTTCTGTTTAATCCAAATTTCATCAAAGCATGAGTTTGCTCCTAAAAGAAATCCTCAAAAATTTACTTTTACTGAACCTTCTTCAGGCCCCTCTAAAATGCCTTGATCTGCTGTGTTGGCATCATAGTGCCTCACTTTTCCCCAAACAAATTCTGGTCCTGGCAGAATTCTGGCCATATGTTGGGATATGACAGAGTATCATTTCCTGATAAAGGCAACACATGACTGTCCAAATATTGTCAATGTGGCATTTTGCGTTGATGTCATGTTACACCAAGAAGATTGATTTTAACACAAAGAATTAGGAGAAGATAAACCAGGTGTCCTCATTCAACCTGCAGTTAATCCTCAATGAGAAAGTTGGTTTTTAGAGCTCTGATGAAAGAAGATGGTGCATTGAGACCCTCAGGTCACAGTGCAGTGAGGTAATGGTTCCATCTTGATTTTACTAGCATCTTCTTTTAAATAACTCCTATGTAAATTCAGGTAGTTATGGAAGAAAAAAAGATTACACTAAAAATCAGATTGTGAAAATAGACTACAATTTAGACCACAGTCTTATTTTCCACTTAACTCTTCTTGTAGGAGTTATATTTTTCTCTCATTTAAAAAAGCATAATGGCATGGTCTAAAGAATCTCTCACTTCTATTGACCTCGGTGCTCTTCGTAACATGACTTTGGGGAAATGCAGCTCTTTTAATGTCAGCAGAATTATGTTTTTATGACCAGCCAATTAGTCCCCCATGGAGATATAGCAATATAAATTAGTGGAGGATTATATGCACAGGGCACAGTGTGGTGTCCCTGATAAAACTAATACAGATAAAAATATGTAAAAACAGTTAGACAAAAGTAACATGATCAATAAGCAATAGCCATGCAAATGAGAGACACTCTGTGAAACTGTGGTGCAAAAATCATAGAAAGAATAAGTTGGGTGCCTCAAACAGCATGATTTTAATTCCCTGTCACCTGCCTCAACTAGAGAGAAAAGGTGTTAGTTATGGAATAGGAAAAAACATATAGAAGGAAATCCATTTGCAACTTGGATGCTTTGACAATTTTGGATCATGCATGCAAAACGTTCAACCATTTTTTATTAGATGACAGCAAGTGAAGTTCATGCAGTTTCAGACAAAAGATTTCTGAACTAGTTATTGTTTCTTTCACACAAAATAATAGTTTTAAGCAATTCAACTGTGAGCCTGAAAAGAGAAACTCTGTCATTTTAGTTTTCTTTAAATTCTGCTCCTCAGGAGAAACTAAACACGCCTTTCACAACTGTCTGAATATAGATGACCCCATCTACTGTGAGGATGACTGACTGATTTTCCAAAAAAGACACCCTTAGGTAGGAAAGAGACAAAAATGATGCACCAAGAAAATGCTGTTCAGAAGTCTGCTATAAAGTGTTTCTACAAAGCTCCATAGGAAAAAGAAGAAAGTGACCCAAAATTTAAACATGCACAGAAGAGCTGAGGGAGAAGGAGGCTTGTACAGCCTTTAAAAAGTTTCTTAATACTGAGCTGAACTCAACAGTTCATAGAAACAAAGAGAATATACAGAACATCACATAGTACTAATGGTGGTGGCATGCAGACACCAAAATTGTCAAAATTTGCAACCTGTATAATACCTTTGGTTGAATTGCTCCAACGGTTACCTTCAGAATAATGGGATAAAGTCAACAGATTGACGCATGAACCGCCTGCCCCAGATCCAAAAACAGTTATTCTTAATGGGTCACCACCAAAGAACCCAATATTTTCACTAGTCCATCGCAAAGCTTGAATTAGATCAAGGAGGCCATAGTTTCCTTTTGCTGCTTGGTCCCCAGTGCTCAGAAATCCTGTCAAAATAAATGAAAAGAGAAGGGGTTAGCAAGGGTTCTTCTGAGTGATCCTGTTAAAATCTTCCAAGTAAGATTTCAGAAGTATATGCTATTAAATATCATGCAACTACATACTTTTCCATAGTCCCTGGGAACAATTTGAAATTCTGCACTTCTCCTGAAATAAAAAATATTTGATATCCACACTTTTGGCCATGATAAATATATGTAGCAAAGATGAAGATACATCCCAGGCAAAACACTCATCTAAATCTGAACAGGCCACAGCTTATTACTCCCAAGGACTTTGTGCTGATTGTACAGAATTTAAGAGTAAAAGTTTAGAAAACAGACAAGATGCAGTTGTTCTGTACATTATTTTGTCAAGTCTGTGTTGCTTTTCTGTACTTGGATGCCATGCAGCCATGAGCTTTGCATGTGCCTGAGATGCAGTGATTACACTTCACTTGCATGAGACTCTGTTTGATCCTGTCCTGGCAACTCATTGTCTTTTACTTTTTTCTACACCCAAAAATGCAGCTTATGTCACAGGACAAGCCAGACTGAACAATGGGAGCAGCTCTCAGCTCCCTGAGTTCCATCCCATAGTCATTAACCTGAGTTAATTGAATCTACATTAAATGGATGAAGTCAATGTTTCCATGACCCTTAACAGCCAAAAGGTAGGAGCTCAGGGGTAATCTGGAGAGCACTACAACTGCTCCCTTTTATTCCTGGAGGAAAAGTGCTGGAATGTGTCAGGTGCAGGAATGACTGGTCCACACTTTACTCCCAGCAGTCCCTTCACATTTAGTATTACAATTACTTTTGTCATTAGAGCCCACTGACTCTAAAAGATGCACAGTAAAAACTCTGAAGAAAGTCTCTGTTGATAAAAGACATTGCTTTTGGACCCTGTTGACATTTTGAATTTTCTCAGCTTAATAAACGAATGTTTAAATACTACCAGCATTATGAAGTAGTCCATACCTCCATTTGCATATCAAACTGATTTGATGCTCACTAAATCGTGTAACTGCTTTTCAGTACATGCTTTGTAGAGAAATGCAACAATTACAACAATTATTTCCACATTAATTAGATATCAGTGGGTCTTCTAGTCTCGTCAAAGTTCTACTGATTCAACTCTCTTGAGTGCAGACAGCCTACTCAAAGGAAGTTTACAGTAGTTTTGCAGACAAATGGCTCTCAAAGGAGTCCTACTCTTCCATTATGACTATAAAAGCAGCTTTTAAGACATTTCTAAGACACATGTGTGTATATACATCTATATAGCCAAGATTTAACAAGAATACAGATAGGTGCATGTGTGTACCTATATTCATGGATATAATGAATGTGTCATTTTAAAATTTATTATTACTCTGATTTGGCTTCAAATGGCAAGCCTGCATTGGATGTTCTGCCCTATACATAGAGACATTTAAACTAACAGCCCTTCTTTGCTGCAAATGGCACTGGAAGCTCATTGGCCTCACTGCCTCAGCACCTAAAATCTGCTTTGTTTAGGGCGAGCAGCTTTGTTTGTGTAGGTCAATCCTGATTTTTGTAACCACAGAGAGGGAAGAGGAAAGTGCCATAAGGTGCCAGGCCAGCAATTCTCCTACTTCCAGATCTAATGTACCAAGTCTAATAGACATACTTCATTCATTGTATCTGTAGTAAATTGTTACTCCATGCTAGACTTTAAAAGACCCACTCTTCTACAACTGAAACCTGCCTAGTTATTACCTAACTGCATAAAAAGCAAAGCAGCATCGCTACCATATAAGAAAATACCCCCTTGGTATTCAGGAGAAGACTAGAAAGGAAGACATAATTCATTTAATTCATTCTCACTTTACTATTGCAGCTCAGCACTGAGTTGAAACCATTATGATGATAATTATTTTACTCTGCTTCACACTCCTTCACTTTGCTCCATGTGGCAGAGGGTTGGTGAGCGTGGCCACGTGAAAGCATGGCCCCAGCACAGTCCTGCCTGCACAGCAGCATTCATTCTTGGCTTCATGCTCCAGTAAAATGTTGTCCTCCATAAATAATTTCAAGGACATGGAGAGATGATGTCTTTGAATACGATGGAAAATGTAATGAAAGCTCTCTAAGCAGTGTCACTGCCTTTGTCAGCCTGCTTGGAGCTGAGGGATGGTACCGGGACTGTAACAAAATCACAGCGTAGGAATTTATGGGAGCTACAGGATCCTGTGGCTGTACACGCTGGGAAAGTCTTCCCCTTTCTTTGCACAAGTGTATGGTTGTGGAAATTCAGTGACAAATCAGTTCATTGCATTAAGCACATAAGTGCCTACACTGATTCAAGGGATTAGAGGGACTGGCAGTCCCTGAGCACAGGCAGCAGTGAGATGAGAGCAGTTACAGCAGTTACCAAAACTGTGACATAAACACGTCCCTCTTTGCTTTTTTGCTTTCCCTGGCTTTCAGATTCCCTGAGCCTGGTCAGGATCTGATCTCAGCAGAGCTGGAGCATTGCTTCAAAAAGATCCAGTAGATTTCTCAGAATTATTCCAGGGCATTTATTAGGAAATTAGATGGTGCGGTTATAGCTGAGCTACACCGATCACTCTGAAGGAACACAAATGTGAACACTGAAACTTTCTGAAAAAGTTGTTTTCTTTACTCTGTATACTACGCAGCACAGTAGAAACCATAAGTCTTTGCCTGGAAAAGCAACAAATTAAAATTACAGACAAAGCCTTAGGGCAAACCCTGCTGTCAAATCAGTTCATATCAAGTCCCATAGCTGGATGGGGAAATGGGAAATCCTTGGGAGACTATAAATATACTACTTTTAAAGAATCCTCATGAACATCTTGTTGCTAAAAGTAGATGTCAGGAACCTTGCATTCAGTTCAGGGAATGTGCCAGGAGGGGGAGCTTTCAGTTTATTAAAAAAAAAAAAATAAAGGAAAGAAGGCAGTGTTAGTAATATTCTCCTCATTCATCTATATTAAACAAATTATGACTTGTGTCCAGAGCAACAGCTCTGATGCAAAAGAAATATCTCACACCTCCTCAGCAAGCACCACACTGGCTGATTTCCATATCTGCACAAGATGGATGATGATTGATGTTGACTTTCATGACATGAAACATTTCTATCTCATTTTTCAGAACCATAAGAAGCCTGTTAATATCACCACCTGCTCATGCCTTTTTTTTCCTTGTACGCCATGGTATCCGCATGGCTTAGGAGCATTCAGAATGTCATGAAATCAGAGATGGGACTGATAAAACAGATAAGGTTTTTCTTTCCAGTTTGTGGGTTTCTTTTTTTTCTTTTCCTAGTGAGGAGTGCCTCAACACAGATAAATGACGGAACTAAACACCTGGAGGGAAGTGCTTTAACACCAGCATCATCCCCAGCCTGCTGGTCTGTGGGTGCAGGTACTTACTCCTATTTATCACAGAGATAAAGCAGAGATTGGAACAATATGTTTTGTCTTTATCCCAAGAGGAGCTTTCAGTGTGTAATGGATATAGATACCATACATTTTGGTGCACTCCTATGACACAACCATTACACCATCTAGTTATTAAGCTCGCAATTTTGAGTCGCTGAGGGAACCTTGCTCTGGCTGAAAAGGTCTTGTGCGTCTGAAAGCTTCTGTTTTTAAACTGTATCAGCTAGTCTATTAAAATATATTATCTCTTTCTGCACATACTGTCTTATTATTATCTTTGGATTGTCATCTCACCAAGAACGCTGCTATCATATTCTGCCACCTTTTGCTCTTGTAAAAAGAGGGAAGTAAATTATTCCTTATTTCAGTTATTCCAGGAAGACATTTGCAAAAAACTTAGTTTTGCATTATTCTCTAAAAAGGTCAGATTGAGCTAATTTTGTTCCATAATTAAGTCCTTCTACTGGAAAAATTCCAATCATCAGCTGAACAATTGCTATTTTATATTCTGAATGGAGAGGTTATCTCTTCTTTTATCTCCTCCAGAGGAGCAGACTCTAATAGAATTATGGAAGTGAGTATGTGGTCTTTTGTGAGTTTAAGAAAGAGATTTATTAAGCTCATTTGGACAATTTCTCTGTTACATGTCTGTTAGACAAATATGCAGAGTGCCACAACTAGGCCCTCTATTTTGTATTAAGATAAATTTTAATGCTTTATAGGCTTACCTGCCTGGGCAATTATTTCTGCTTGCCATTCAGATAAATCTTTTTCTAATATGATTCCAGCATTTTTGAAGAGTAAATAAAATAATGGACTCGGGAAACTTAAAATATTTAGCTGAAAACTTTAGGTGGTTTGAATTAATTTGAGCTGTGGCCTAATTTGAAGATTCAAATTAATGCAGAGAGGGAGGCCAAGACAGATTTTTTCCTAATGTAAGGGACTGCCACAACCCAGTGATGCAGTGAGAGAGCAGGTGCAGGCTGGTGGGCATGAAAGTGCCATTTCACATCACAAGAGACCCAAACCATCCCTCTAACGAGTTCTCTCCCTGTGAGTGTTTGATGACCCAGTGACCTTCATGGCTGGATGGAAGTAAGGGGCAGAATGTCTTGCTGGACACACACAAAAAAATATCTGCCTGTGAGAGAATATGCAACAACAAATGCTACTCTAAAATTAAAGCACAAGAGCATAGAGAAACTGGTCTGATGTGTAAAGGGCTTTTTCCAAGAGTTGTGTCTCTGAAAGCAGTAACACTGCAGACTTTAATATTACCCACCTGTTTAGGCAAGTGTTACAATAATTTAGCTAGGTTTCCAGTTACAATTCCCTGTGCAGTCAAACACCACCTTTAATTTTGTTAAAAGCAAATGTTAGATTGTATAAGTATAAATGCACCAATGCATAGTGGAAGAATACAGAGTAGTTTTTGAGGGAAGAATTTGTATTCCATCTGGATTCATTGCTTAGGACTTTAGTTCACCACCTTCTGTTAATATTGAATGGTAATTGCCATGTACAGAAATTTTCCTCTGCCCTTTAAGCTATACCTACTCAGATAGAACTGTG